ATATATATATATATATACACACACACACACACACACCTTACAACTCGACCACAAAAACTGATGTCTCAAAAATATTTGAATGAAAAAGTGGATATTTCAACAGAAATATTTGTCAGGGTAGAGTCTTTATTGGAATGCATGCTCTTTGTTTTACACTGAAGACATAAATAACATTTAATATTACTGTGAACTGTTCCGATCACTTGTAAAATGTGATTTTATTATAAGGACGCACAACTTTACACAACGACATAGAGCACAATAAAGAAGAAGCAAATCATAAATTTAGGGTTCAATACATCAATTCTGCTTTTGTTTAACGTGTTCATTCTATACTGCACAGATTTACATTCACACCAAGAACACGGGATCAAACACACTGGCTCACACACAAGCACAGCAGCAGTTCAGCTTCGTGCAGCCACAGCTGGAGTCGACTGCTCGGTGGACTGCAACTGCTTCCCCAGGTACTCCCTGAAAAGAAAAAATAAAGACCATAGAATGATTATACCGGTTTATCTTTTTGAAAACCTATGATATGCACCTCTTTGTATTTCCGGATATTCCTCAAGCCTTTATGGAAGTAAAATAGCAGGTTTTTGAGCCGCAACTTTAAGCTCAGTGAGAAAAAAATATGTATCATGTGTGCGGAAAGAGGTGATTACAAAAGACACGCACGTTTGATCACAGCATTTTCCATCAGCTCCAACACAGCTGTTTCTCCAATCTAACTACATTCAATTCAACCTGCCTTCCAGAATAATCTTCATGAGGTTCGATTCCTTCCTCTTTGGCATTTTACCAGAGAGAGTTAATTCTGAATGGCACCTGTGGTTTCTCAACTGTTGGGAAATGCTATCTGTCATTTAAATCCTTTCAAAGTGTCCACCATCTTGATGTCCAGCCAAAGCTGTCAGCGTTTCCTGTCTTTATGTCAAACCTCGTTACAGTTTCTCCTTAACTCTGACCATTTTAGAGTGGTGTGCTTTACTTCAGGCCTCAGGTGCTTCAGACAAGATTACACAGCTTATGAAGGAGCACACAACTGAGAAATGATACACAATATATGCCTCGTATCTCGCATCATTCATGTCAGAATAAACATGTTTCCAAGAAAGCAATTACCACATCTGCTGAAAATCTAACATGTACAACCTGTGAACTGTCAAGAAGTTCATCTAGTAGAGCAGTGGTTTTCAAACCTTTTTAAGAGCGACCCTAATTTTTTCTTTTTAAATTGACGCGACGCCTAATATATATATATATATATATATATATATATATAAGCTCTGGCAG